TCGATTAAGAAAGACCAATAATAGACTATGTCACGTTTATACATACAAGAAAATACGAGATAAAATAAAAGAAATAAAAGATAACGTGACTTGTATCGTGTATGACATGGGACTAGCTATCTAACACCTTCCCGCTTACACAAAATGAATGCCCTGATTCATCACAAATAATACTATCTTGACTTTGACTATATTGATTGCTGTTGTACGATATAATTATATTTTTGAGCCATCTAGCCTTTATCTTCTCTACGATTACCCAAAGCACATAATCCATATAATTAGGATAATAAAATAAATCCATTATTGATCAACAAATATCATTATTAAATAATAAAACTGTTATTATAGTAACATAAAGCAGGAAAATAAAACCATAACACCATAGCATAATAATGTTTCGAATATTGTACCATTAACAAAATAATACATCACCATAACCATTCTGTTAAACTAGAAATAAAAATATTTTCAACATTAATTCATTGTATGTCTAAATTGTAATGTCACTCATAAATAATTATATCAATACGTCTATCCACTGCAGTGGCCATCAACAATAAATATAATACTAATATAGTAAATATGAACTGCAATAACAATTTGACATTTCCATAATTATTTTAATTTAATGCGTGCATTTTATCAACAGTCAGTCGATGTATTGGTCCGTGTTGATTAAATCGTACTTCGTATGTTTTATGTCCTAATCGACGTATAATTTCATATGGGCCGATATATTTCGGTGATAATTTGTTTTCCGGATGTTCATTTTTGACCACCACTAAATCACCAACTTGATATTCCTGATCACGACGATGTCTATCAAATCTTGTTTTCATTTGATTTTGAACTTTTTGGATGTTCTTCACCGTTGCTAAATGAATGTCGTCTAAACATTTCTTGATTTCTTCATTCCATTCTTTTGATAATAATGTTTTAATTGGTGTATCGTGTGGATCAGCTGGTAGACGACATCTGCTACCATGCCTAATTTCCTCTGGTGCATATTTCGTTGTAGCATGTATTGAATTATTGTAATTGAATGTAACCGGTTTTAATTTATCATCCCAATTATTACGTTTTTCATTCATCAATGCCAGGATTTTTGGGAATAATGTTGCATTAAAGCGTTTACACTGCCCATTTGCTTCTGGATGATATGGGGACACTGTAATATGTTTACAACCAAGTAATTTTGTTATTTCTTCCATCAATGTCGACCTAAAATGGCTACCATTATCGGTGACGATTTCTTTTGGTGCACCATGTTGAAATATAACATCATTCTTTAAAAATTGCACCACTGTTGATGTTGTACAATTTTTAACAGCTTTCGTGACCACATATTTGGAGAATATATCGGTTAATACCAGTATATATTGATTTCCTTGTGACGATGTTGGAATCTTACCAATAAAATCCATTGATACTTTTTCCCATGGTCCACTTGGTGCTGATATTGGTATTAAATGACCGTCTGCTTATGTCTAACATAATTGTTCTTCTTGCACTGAATACATTTTTTGACATGTGCTTCAACATCTTTATATTGTTTTGGCCAATGATAATAATTCTTCAACTTGTCATATGTCCGTTGGACCCCATAATGAGAACCACTATCAGTAGAATCATGATAAGCTAAAATAATACTCATACGTAATGATTGTGGGACATAACGTAGTTGGTAGCGGCGTCCACTTCTTCTTGTGATTCTCCAATATAATAAACCGTCTCGTTTTACCATAAATCTCCTTTCTCTATCATTAATATTTGTAATAATATCTTGTATAACTGGATCGTTTTGTTGATGCTCCTTCAATGTTGTATCATCAAATGATAACACTTTTCGTTGTTGTTGTGGAGTTGTTGACTGTTGGTGTTTCATACCATCATTGATGTTTTTCTTCTGATCATCATCATCACATGATTTAATATTTTGTTTTTGCATTGTTCTTGTGGTTACAGCTGCTATCATTGGTTGTTGTATTGTTGTTGTTTTAATCACATCATTAATCTTGTCTTGCTCATCCATTATACAACCAGATGGATATCTTGATAAAAAATCAGCCACGACATTCTTGTTACCATTAATATGTTTAATCTTAAAATCAAAATCTTGTAATTTCATAGCCCACCGGTCAATTCTTGCATTCTTGTATGGTTTAGTTGATATTGACGTTAAATTTTGGTGATCGGTTTCAACAACAAATGATTGGCCGTATAAATGCGACCGAAATTTTTCTGATACACACCACCAAATGGCCAAACATTCTTTTTCGCTTATTGGATATTTTCTTTCTGTTGTTGTTAATGTTCTTGATACGTAGGCTACTGGTTTATACCCTTCAACTGTCCACTGTAATAATACACCACCAATACCATAATCACTTGCATCCGTTTGCACCTTAAATTGTGATTTTGTGTCCGGGAGCTGTAACTAAACATTGTTTTAATTGGTCAAATGCGTTTTGTTCTTGTTCACTCCATATAAAATTCTTCTGTGCATCTTTTAATCCAAATTTCTTCAATGATGGTGATATTCCGGCAAAATTTTTGATAAACCTTCGGAAGAAAGTAGCTGTTTGTAAAAACGCATAAGCTGATTTAGCTGTTGTTGGTGTTGGAAAATTTTTAATGGCTTGTACATGGCCGTCACTTGGTTGTATACCACGTTCATGTATCTTGTGCCCCAAATATTCAATCTGTTGTTTAAAAAATTCACATTTATCAACATTCAATTTAAAATTGGCGTTGGATAACACACGGCATACTTTACTGACGTCTTCCAGATGTTGTTCGAATGTTGGTGAAAACACAATAACATCATCCAAATAGACGAGACAACAGTCCCATCTAAGATGTCCTAATGTATCATTCATAATTCTTTGATAGGTTGGGGGTGAATTCATTAGGCCTTGGGGTAAGCCATTAAATTCGAATAAACCATCTTGTGTTGAAAATGCCGTCTTCTTTTTGTCACTTTCACTAATTGGCACCTGAAAATAACCGGATTTCATATCTAGTTTCGAATACCATTTAGATCCAGCCATTTGTTCCATAATATCATCCATCCGCGGTAATGGATACACGTCCTTTTGTGTAATTAAATTAATTTTCCTATAATCAACACAAAACCGTGGTGAACCATCCTTCTTCTTCACTGTTACTACAGGTGAAGACCATGGGCTGTTTGATGGCCGAATAATACCATCTTTCAATATTAATAATAATATAATATCATCTTGTTCACTTCTCCTTGTTGTACTTCTCTCATGATATTTGATACACGACGTAGATGACTGTATATTGGAAAATGATTACCAGTGTTGATTGTGTGCCGAACTGTCGTCTTAATAGCTGATAATTCTGTTGTATCGAACAAATTTTTGATACTTGTTTGATGTAAATCTTGCTTGTAGTTGTTGTTGCTCATCCAGATGGTTTATTTTATTAAATATAAGTTCTTGTATTGGCGTTAATTCTGATTTTGTACCATGATCCATATCTTTAAGGTGTGCCATCAATAAATTTCTTGATTGAAATTGCGTCTTACATGTACCACACATATTATCTGGATCTGTGTTTGTTTGTTGAAGCACATTATTTTTATCTTGAATTAATGCCATAATTGGTATACATTCTGATTCAACCGGTGGTGTGCATATAACACCAATGACAGTATTTCTGAAAATCATTTTTGGATTATCCGTTGGATTTGTGATTGATATGATTGAATGATAATCATCGATCTTGACCACTGCGTTAGGCGTCATAATCCAACGTAATTGTTGTAATTGATGATCGTGGCTGAATATCATTGTATCACGTTGTCTGACTGGTACTGTTATTTCAGTCAATTGTTCTGTATGGGGTTGTATAATTACTGTATTAATTAATCGAACAGGATAAATTTCCTCATCTAGACATG